CGTTCGAATGGACACCGAGGCTCCAGCTCTGAAAGTATTTAACTCGGAACCCGCTGGTGGTAGCAGAGGAAGAGGGAGGCCCCCACTGTGATGGAAAGATCAGGTGGAGAAGGACTCGGCTTCACTTGGCGTTTCCAATTGGCGTCAGTTGGCACAGAGGGGAAAGGACTGGCGTGCTTTGCTGAACTCGGCAGAAATCGCTTAGGCGGTTACAGCGCCAAAAAAAGAAGAAGAAGAGTATTTTGAAAATTTGTCTATGGCAGTCAATATGAGTTGTTTGTTTGTGTGATAGATATCAACATGTACGATATGTCCGGGGTATTTAGGTGTTGGAGTAGTCTGTATAGCATGTTTATTGGGATGGCGGTCATATTTACTAAGTTTACAGGTTCTGCACTGTTTTACTACTCTAAAGATTTGGGTTCTCATTTGCGGAAAGTAACATTTTTGTAGAATCTGCAACTTATTCTCTCCTAACTATTTCGGTGCGCACGATTATGTTCATTAATAATTTCTTTATCGTGGTCGGTAGGAGTTTTTACATCTCTTACCATTTCCCTAGTAAACCATATTCTGAATCTATTAAAATGAAGAGCGTAAATTTTCTGTACTATTCCCAGCGTTCTCTTATATGTTTTGTNCGACTGGAATTTAAGTGTGCTCTGCCCAATCCACAAGAAAGGTGACCCCGCTATTTGCGCCAACTACCGCGGGTTCAGCCTTCTAAGCATAGATTACAAGGTTTTATCGGCGTATTGTGTGAAAGACTGAAGCCCACCGTCAATGAACTGATANAGGAGCTTTCGTCACTGTTTTGTGTTGCAGTCATTGAGTTTATTTGTGCATTGAGAGGTGGGCGAGATAGTGCATCTGCTACTTTATTCGTGGTTCCGGGTTTATATTGTAATTCGTAATGATATTCTTCCAAAACTGCTTTCCATCGCTTCCTTTTGGAATTGGAATTTTTGCTGGATAAGGCGTATGTTAGTGGCTGGTGATCTGCAAAGGNGTTTCCTATACGCCGCTATGTCTGAATTTGGCATCCCCTCAAAACTCATACGGCTGTGTAAAATGACGTTGAGCAATACCACCAGCTGCGTCATAATTGGAAAAAACCTCTCCGAGCCGTTCGCANCGTAAAGGTAGTTTCGGAGGCATTTAAGAGCCCAAACTATGGCGAGCATCTCCCTTTCGTTGGTGGCATACGCTTCCTCTGTCTTGTTAAGGGTTCTAGAAATGAATATTATTGGTCGGTTTTCTTGCGTTAATACTGCACCTATCGCGTACTTTGATGCGTCGGTCGTGAGGTGGNCTGGCCTTTACGCGTTGGCGACGGCGAGTACCGCAGACGATGGACCGATGAGCTTTACAACGATATGGACATAGTGCAGCGAATTAAAATACAGCGGCTCCGCTGGCTTGGTCATGTCGTTCGAATGGACACCGAGGCTCCAGCTCTGAAAGTATTTAACTCGGAACCCGCTGGTGGTAGCAGAGGAAGAGGGAGGCCCCCACTGTGATGGAAAGATCAGGTGGAGAAGGACTCGGCTTCACTTGGCGTTTCCAATTGGCGTCAGTTGGCACAGAGGGGAAAGGACTGGCGTGCTTTGCTGAACTCGGCAGAAATCGCTTAGGCGGTTACAGCGCCAAAAAAAGAAGAAGAAGAGTATTTTGAAAATTTGTCTATGGCAGTCAATATGAGTTGTTTGTTTGTGTGATAGATATCAACATGTACGATATGTCCGGGGTATTTAGGTGTTGGAGTAGTCTGTATAGCATGTTTATTGGGATGGCGGTCATATTTACTAAGTTTACAGGTTCTGCACTGTTTTACTACTCTAAAGATTTGGGTTCTCATTTGCGGAAAGTAACATTTTTGTAGAATCTGCAACTTATTCTCTCCTAACTATTTCGGTGCGCACGATTATGTTCATTAATAATTTCTTTATCGTGGTCGGTAGGAGTTTTTACATCTCTTACCATTTCCCTAGTAAACCATATTCTGAATCTATTAAAATGAAGAGCGTAAATTTTCTGTACTATTCCCAGCGTTCTCTTATATGTTTTGTGACCATTAATGACGGATGGATTCAAATAGTTTTTAAGGATGCTGGCTAATTTTTCTTCGTCGTAGGCTACTTCTGTTACAGTGTGACGATGATACGTGGGGAACGGAATTTCAAATTTATACTCAGAGGTATTACCCAAGTTAAGAATAATTTGGTTTTTGAAGACATTGAGCGGTTCATCGGCAAATTGTATTAAATTCTGGGAGGAGCTTTCGTCACTGTTTTGTGTTGCAGTCATTGAGTTTATTTGTGCATTGAGAGGTGGGCGAGATAGTGCATCTGCTACTTTATTCGTGGTTCCGGGTTTATATTGTAATTCGTAATGATATTCTTCCAAAACTGCTTTCCATCGCTTCCTTTTGGAATTGGAATTTTTGCTGGATAAGGCGTATGTTAGTGGCTGGTGATCTGCAAAGGTTTTTACTTTCGCTGTACCGTAAAGGTAGTTTCGGAGGCATTTAAGAGCCCAAACTATGGCGAGCATCTCCCTTTCGTTGGTGGCATACGCTTCCTCTGTCTTGTTAAGGGTTCTAGAAATGAATATTATTGGTCGGTTTTCTTGCGTTAATACTGCACCTATCGCGTACTTTGATGCGTCGGTCGTGAGGTGGAATTCCTTGTCATAGTCAGGATATGATAGCATTACATCTTCTGTCAGTAGGGAATTTTTTACTTTTTGGAATGCTTCGACAGCTTCCTTGGAAAGACAAATGGATTTCCTGCTGGAGAGGTTTTTGGACACATGACCTTCTTCCCCCCTTAAAAGGGATGTCAGAGTTTCGCTATTTTGGCATAATCTTTTATGAAACGGCGATAGAATCCTAACAGACCTAAAATGACCTGATGTCTTTCAATGTTTTTGGATAAGGAAAGTTTTTGATTGCTTCGACTTTCGCTGGATTGGTTCGTATTCCATTTTTGGATACAATGAAACCAAGGAATTCGGCTTCTGTTTTTAAGAATTCAAATTTGTCGATTTGCAACTTCATGTTTGCGCCCTGTAGAGTTTGAAAAATGATTTCGAGATTTTTAAAATGGGATTCGGCGTCTTCACTAAATACAATTATGTCGTCGATATATACGTAGCATATTTTGCCTATATGCTCACGCAGAATATCGTCGAGCGCACGCTGAAAAATTTATGGTGCGTTTTTAAGGCCAAATGGCAGTCTCACGAATTTGTATTCAGTATAGGATACCGATCGGAGATGGTGACGGTATTTAGTTTCCGATAATCAATGACGAGGCGATATTTCTTTTCGCCTGTACTATCCATACCGGTGAGTTATAAGGGGACCGTGAAGGTCGGATTATGCCGTTGTCAAGAAGGTGCTTTATTTGTTTTTCAACTTCGTCTTTAAGGGAAATTGGATAAGGGTAATATGCCGACTATACTGGCCTGTCGGTTGTGGTTCTGATTTCACCACAACAGTGGTGAATGTAAGCTTTTCGTCCGGTTCAGCGAATAAAGTCGCATATTGTTTTACTAACTTCTCGATTTGAATTTTGTCTTGCTCCAAAATATGCTCTGTTCTGATACCTATGGCATTTACAGAATTTGAAGGTTGCTGTTTAATTTTGATTTTATAGTTATTGCGGATAAGCATATAATTTTCCTTTGCATGAATTATGGCGGATAGTTCTCTAAGGCTATCGTTCCCTAATATTCCATCAAATGGTTTAAGAGATGGTAATAAAAAGAATTTAAGATTGATATCCTTTTGTTTAAATAAATTGACCATTGTGTGGTGAGTTATTTTAACGTGCCAGCTATTGAGTTTGCATAGAAAATTTTCTCATTAGGTCTGGGTTTCTGTACATGTTTCGGTTGTATGTAGATTCTGTTCGAGCTAGTATCTACGAGGAATTTGAGTAATACACCACCGTTCGGCATTCGAAATAGGGAAGTGATGAATTCGTTAACCTAAAAAATGTATATCTGTAAAGTCTTCGAAGTCGTTAGCCGATACGTTATTTGCCATATCTGACTCATTTAAATATTCATCTAGTGTTTGTTCGTAATTGTCGTCCTCGGAATTTTGTTAGCTTTTCGTTATTAGTCTGTCCGCCTATTGGTCTTTTCCCTGCGTATCCCCGGGCAAAGGGTCTATCCGCGTAGTTAACCTTTGCCGCTTTTAGGCTTTGGTCAACTTCCATAGGTTGCGGTGGTTTGGAGGCGATTGGTCTGGGTGGTAGTTGTTGGGTGTAACTGTTTCCGTATCGGGGTTGGTTATTTGGTTGAGGGTTTCCATTATTAAGTGGTCTTTGTAATGGGTAATTGTGGTGGATGGGGTATTTGGGGATAAAAAGGATATTGATAATTTGTCAATAAGTTTGGATTGTAAGTTTTGGCCATTTGAGAAAGATTTGGTGCTGGGAAGGATGGATGGGGTAAATGGGTATAAGGAGTTTGCATGTTGGGGTATATGTTACGGGAAATTATATGTATGTATGTATATAAGTTAGCACCATAGGAATTCTATCCAAATACAATAAAAGAACGCTACGCCTCAGCGTTGCGTAAGTGCATTCGACGTTTAATAAGAACGCTGTGTAGCCAAAAGTAGTCAACACAAATTACAATACTGCAGACTCAGCGTTGCATAAGCGCATTCACTATTTTAACCGAGTAAAATTAGTTCACACAGTTAAGCAGTTTTCTGCTAATCCAACAACAACGACTTCGCATTCTGCCAGCACTAACTTTAAGCGGAAGTCGCGCCGACGTAATGTGAATCAGTTGTCACATCGTTAGCATTAAGCATAGCTTACCTTTATATGTATTTAATTAAGAATGAGTAAATAATAAAACAACAACTTTATTGTAGTATTGTATATAGCAAGTAAGTGAAAAATTTTATAAAAAGGCAAAGTAAAAAAACTCTGTAAGTTCATTTGACCATCCGACGCATTGTGTTTCAATTCGGTGGCTCGAGGCGATAAGTGGCGCCCGAGTGCGGCATAGTGAAAAAAGTGCACTGAATATTATTAGGGAAGATCCTTAATTTATTATTATTTATCGGATCAAAAAAGTTAAAAACCACAAGGAAGCAGCGAACTTTAAAAATAAAGGACGTATTCCCAAAAAAGTGCATTAAAAAAACACTACCCGGTCGACAATAAACTACCCGGTGAAAAAACTTTTTAAGTACAAACCAAAAACGTAATCTGCGGGTAAAACGAAAATCGTTAAAAAAAAAAACAAAAAACAACAACGTAAATTTTAATCGCAAATTATCCGGTTAAAACCTGCGTATAAAACCAGCTCGAAGGACAGCAGCTGCTGACACGACGAGCTAATAAGCATCGGCCATCGATCAACGGACGTTGAGGAACAGTGACGTCACCCGCCCCTGAGTAAGGACGTAAAACCCTAAAACGGAATAAGCGGAGCGCCCGAAGGATTCCAAGGATGCAAGCAGTGAACTTCATTTTATCGTAAGACTTAGATTCTTAAGCTATTTACTCGTATCAAACAATTTTGCCTATTATTCTGCTTAGCTTCATTAAAGATAATTAAAGCATTTCTAAATTAAAGATATTGTGAAATTTTGGACGTGAAAAATCTCTAGCGGAATATATTTTAATTAAAATAATTAAAGTGAAAATATTGTGAAATTTGGGACGTAAAAATCTTTAGCAGAATATATTTTAATTAAAATAATTAAAGTGAAAATATTGTGAAATTTGGGACGTAAAAATCTTTAGCAGAATATATTTTAATTAAAATAATTAAAGTGAAAATATTGTGAAATTTTGGACGTAAAAAATCTTTAGCAGACTATATTTTAATTAAAGTAGTTAAAGTGAAAATATTGTGAAATTTTTGACGTAAAAAATCTTTAACAGGATATATTTTAGGTTTTAACTCAAAAAATGGAACAGATGCAAGAGGCCATAACCTAGCTCACAGGTGCTATAAATGCACAGATAAAGCAAATAAGAGGAATGAACAATAGGATAAGCCAACTAGAAGCCAGGGTTAGTGCGCACAATGAAAATAGTATTCCGGAAGCTCCTACCCGTTTAACGGAGGCGGACCTAAAAGAAATAAGCAAGCTTCCAGATAGTGTAAAAAACCTGCAAACATTTGAGGGTGATCCTGTACAGTACATGTCTTGGATTCACAGCGTTGAATCTATATTGCAGAACTATGAGATAGTTAAAAATAGGCCAATATACAGGGCTATCTTGCGTCATATAAGACAAAAAGTCAGGGGGCCTGCGGATACTGCCTTAATTTCTTATAATACATTCGATGACGACTGGGGAAAAATCAAAACTTGTTTATCTTTGCATTATGCAGACAAACGAGATTTGAGAAACCTGGAACACGAATTAGGCTCCTTATCCCAAAGGAACTACAGCATAGAACAATTCTATGCAAGGATCAATCACCAGTTGTCCTTAATAATTAATAAAATAAAAGGCCAGGACTATCTGTTGAAACGAGTTCTGCATTAGTAGAAACCTATAGAAATAGGGCCTTGGACGTTTAAATAAGAGGACTTACGGGTGAAGTATCCAGGATGCTAGTCATCCAAAGACCGCAGAACCTACCTGCGGCGCACGCCTCGTGTCTGGAAATTCACAACCTTAACTTAAGGAATTATTCAATTTTCCCAAAAAGTCTGGGAACTTCAAACCAAGTGCAGAGCACAAAGTACCAGTCAAAGCAAAGGCAACCACAGACATCGAGAGAACTCAATTCTAGGGAAAAGAATCAGATTTATAATAAAAGTAACCAATCGCAAGACGTGCCTCCACCTAGGCCAACTCAGCCCAAACCTCCAAGGCCGATGGATGTGGGTCCATCACTCCACTCGCGGAAGGTCAATTATATAAACAGGCCGAGTGACCCTGTAGCAAGACCCTCCAACGAGCAGAAGCTTTTCAAAATAGGAACGGATAGTGATGACACCGATGAAGACCAGGAAAATGAGGATTCAAATTTTATGGACGAAGCCTCTCTAGCGTTCCTTATATAGAACTTTACACCAAAAGGGGAAAAGTCCTTCAATTTCTAATAGATACCGGAGCTTACAAAAATTTTGGATCTGAAGAAATTGCTAAAAATTCCAAAAAGATTAATGAGCCCTTTAAAGTGCAGTCCGCCGGGGGAAAAATAGAAATTAAATAGCCATAAAATTCAAGGCAAATTTTTTAAAAGTATAGGAATTGAAACACAATTTGACTTCTTTGTACTCTCTAATTTAAAATCCTTCGATGGCATTATCGGCGACGATACTCTTAGGGAGTTGGAAGCCATAACTGATAGAAACGCGACATTCTGCGCGTAGGTGATGCTAAAATTAAGCTTAAAGCAAAAATATCTAAGGAATTGAGTAATATCCGAAGTACATCAAATAGTGATAACGAAATTCTAGAAATTTTAGGACAATATTCTGGCATTTTTGGACCAGTATCGGACAAAGATATCGTTACCACTAAGTTTCGCGCCGAGATTAGAACAAATACGGACGAACCAATTTATACGAAATCTTACCCGTATCCTACAAACCTCAGAGCTGAGGTAGACAGCCAAATAACAGAACTGCTAGAAAACGGAATAATAAGCCCGTCGAAAAGCCCCTACAACTCACCTTTGTGGATAGTGCCAAAAAAGGCCGGACCATCTGGGGAAAAACGATATACAGTTGTTATTGACTTCAAACGGCTAAATTCTGTAACTATTCCCGATGCCTACCCTATTCCCGATATCAATAACACGCTATCTAGTCTAGGCGAGAGTAAGTATTGCACCACTCTCGACCTTACGTCCGGATTTCACCAAATCAGGATGAAGCAAAAGGACATTGAGAAAACCGCGTTCTCGACAGCCAATGGCAAGTACGAGTTTACGAGACTGCCGTTTGGTTTGGAAAATGCTCCTTCCATCTTCCAAAGGATGATCAATGACATCCTCAAACCGCTGCTTGGGAAATCGTGCTACGTTTATATTGACGATATCATAATAATAGGTAGGTATAGGGAAGAATATTTGAAGAATTTGGAGGATGTATTTTCACTCCTGCAGAAGGCGGGATTAAAGGTTAATCTTGAATAATCAAAATTTCTTAAAAAAGAGAGTTGACTTAGAATATTCCAACCTTTTTACATCACAGAAAAAGCAATATGGTGTCATCGGAAATTGTATATTAATAGACGAAACCACAATTTGTAAAAAAACCCAGCTTCAAAAATTAGAAAAGACACATTGCAACACAAATTATGAACGGAGAAAGGGCAACGTGCGATTACCAATACGAAAATAAGGCCATAGTCGAATTAATCACAGAAAGAACACTTTTTGTTTCGAATTTTATGGGAAACCTTAGTTACGATACAAAACTCCTCAAACTGAATGGTACCTTCATTATAAATTTCTTTAACGAAACTGTAAGTCTAAACGGTGCTACTTACACAAACTGGCAAACTAGCTCTTACCAAGTCTTGCCTCCAATACTGCAAAACAACCTAACTGAGAACGAAATTAAATTAGATCTGAATTACCTGCACCAACTACATTTAACCAATGTGAAAATATTAGAACACATGTCGTCAGGAAATAGCATTTCAATTGGTTCAAGCCTTGCAGCCATTCTTATTGAAATAATTCTATCAATCGCCCTGTATACCATCCTCAGGCCAAAAATCATTTTTCATTCCGCCAATAATAGATTATCCACAAATTGCAGTAAAACAATAAAATCTTATCAGCGAGACGCTGATGCTTAAGAAGGGGGGAGTTAGCACCATAGGAATTCTATCCAAATACAATAACAAGAACGCTACGCCTCAGCGTTGCGTAAGTGCATTCGACGTTTAATAAGAACGCTGTGTAGCCAAAAGTAGTCAACACAAATAACAATACTGCAGACTCAGTGTTGCATAAGCGCATTCAATATTTTAACCGATTGAAATTAGTTCACACAGTTAAGCAGTTTTCTGCTAATCCAACAACAACAATGACTTCGCATTCCGCCAGCACTAACTTTAAGCGGGAGTCGTTCCGACGTAATGTGAATCCGTTGTCGCCAACCAGATTTGCCTCAAATTACATCGTTAGCATTAAGCATAGCTTACCTTTTTCTATGTATTTAATTAAGAATGAGTAAATAATAAAACAACAACTTTATTGTAGTATTGTATATAGCAAGTAAGTGAAAAATTGTATAAAAAGGCAAGGTAAATAAACTATGTACGTTAATTTGACCATCCGACGCGTTGTGTTTCAATTCGGTGGCTCGAGGCGGTAAGTTATATGTGTGTATCCATATGCATGTGCTTATATAAGTGCATAGTTATCTACAGAACAGTAGCGCATAATGAGACAAAATTTTGCAGCAATAATCAAATAATAGCTACCCAGAGAAAAACACGATTACCACAGAAACGAAAGTGGAAACGAGCTAGGCGATGGGAATCGCTTACCCTTTCGCTTCAAGAAGTATTTTAACATGGGCATGTCATTGGCGGTAAGCCCTTACCCACAGCATTATATTCAAACGAAGGGAGAACGCATGGATAAAGAGAATCCAGAGAAGCGAACAAAGAATGCCTTACAGAGAAACTAATGTAGAATGCCTAGATAAGTACATACTTATCTATGTATATTAAATTGAAATCAGAAAATGCCTTAAAAGATTCAAATAAATTAAAATATTTATAAATCAGTTTTTATACATACACTAGCAGACCCGGCGAACTTCGTCCCGCCCAAAATTATTTTTTTTTAGTGAAATATTTTGGTAGAACCATTTTCACCAACAATTCACATTCACGATTTCCAGTGATACATTTATCTGCTAATACATATTACGGTTTGGTGGTTGTCAGAAGGCATATTTTCATTGTTGTCCTTAATAACCTAACGAAAGTGTATGTTCGTGAAGAAGTTCTTGGAATTCTCCAATGATCTGGCGTTTCACAGAACGGTTAGTCGCAAAATGAAATAAATTTGAAGAACTTTTTCCCATTCATCATTCCCATCTGTCCTTAGAAACTATATGGTATAGTTGGTGGCAATTTAAAAATTGGTGAGTATCGTTGTTCCACACACACTTATTTCAGTCGAAATACCTTAAAGCTCTTATCAAGGAGCGCAACGGTTCTGATGGTAGACATAATGCTGGTCATTTGAGATTGGCCCCTGGACAACTCAATCCTATAAATTCCAAATGAAGCACGCAAATCACGTTCATTGGGCCAATCGCAACACACGGGAGCTCGGCATACTCGGTGGTACAGCACGTCGATGTAATCGGACATTCTCACTTGACGCTTTTTAGTAACAACTCGACCCCAGCGTCATCCGGCGGCTGTTTTTTGCAATATTATTTCCCTTACCGTTACCATTACATAAGTATCTCGAATATAAGCCAGATCGGATCATAGCTAAGATTTTAACAATAACACGACTCCAGCGCCATCTGGTAGGTCAAACTGGGAATCTGAACAACTACGAAGAGACCTTACTCACACAAAAAAAAATCGTTAAAATCGATTCACTCGCAAACACACGAACGAAGTATTATATGTATATACACCTTCAGTACATTTGGGAAGACGCCGCGCCCCTTCTTAAATATCCCCACTGCGGTTGTGATTGCGACTCGAACAACCCCATATGCAGTATGAAAAACTCGATTTATATGAGAGGTGCCACGCCTGTTTTCCAATAACATCAATTGTTTCATGAGTATGCGTTTAATTTCGTATGGGAGGTGCCACGCCCCCTCTTTCAATAGCTCCAGTTTTTCTCCGTGATTGATTTCATATATATCCCTACCAAGATCCAGTACTCTACCATGAACACTTCTAGAGATATGCCGTATGAAAAATTTGGTTTTTATAGTAGGTGCCACGCCTTCTTCACTTAGCGCCATGAAATTCACTTTACGACCTGTTCCCCGCGCTCATTTTCTAAATTGATTTTATATATCTCCATACCAAGTTCCACTACCCTACTATGAACGCTTTCAGAGATATGCGGCATGAAATATTCGGTTTTCCAATAACATCCATTTTTTCCATGAGTATGCGATTGATTTCATATATTTCCAAATATACACACAAAATTTCATACAAATCGGTCAAGCCGTTTCGGAGGAGTTGACCCCAAACACCGTGACATAAGATTTTATTCGAATGGTGGGAACCCTATGCAATTTTTTTTCTGTTTTAAGTGTTTTCATACATTCGCAGTGGAATAGCATTACTACTCATTAAAATTAATTTTTTTGATAATTCAGATATATGGCAACACCGGTTTTTCAATTTTTTTCTTTACAAACCTTCTACAGACAAAGAGAAACAAATTGAAATAAAAACGAAACAAATCCGTTGAGCCGTTCTTCAGTTATGCGATAAAAAACGAACAGCAATTTATTAAATATTATGTAACCGGGCTAGTCTGATCTATGTTTTTAGTGCGAATAAAACTACATTATTCCACTTTCTGGCCCAACGTTTCGCTAAAACAGATATAAGAAAACAAAAAAGCAGTACAGCATTATCACAACACATCATAACAAGTGGACATACAGCTGATTTCGCAAACACAAAGATTATCGACAAAGAAAGAAGGGAGTCAACCCGATATACACTAGAAAGCCTTAGGATAATGCAAAGAGGGGAAAAGACAATGAACAGAAAAGAAGATACGGACAACATTGCGGCCGCTTACATTTCTCGTTTATGATTACAAATAAAAATGTTTATTATTTTAGTATTGACAAAGCTACCACAAAAGATGGTACAGATGCGCTGTATTTAGGTGTTAATCAAAGTTCTTAAACATTGTGAGTTTTTTGTCCTCAAATTGTTGTTTATAATTTTTAATTCCATATATGTATATGTATGTTTGTATGCTATATTCATTAATTTTTAATTACAATGTGCCTTTGTAATTTTGGTTTGTGGCAGATTTAATAAAGCTGGATTGCCCCTGAAGATGCTAAAAATGTTTTAGCGAAACGTTGGGCCAGAAAGTGGAATAATTTAGTTTTATTCGCACTAAAAACATAGATCAGACTAGCCTGGTAACATAATATTTAATAAATTACGAACTGATCGGACAATAAAACATAGAACAGCAATTTATTTTTATATGTAAAGATTTTTGTCGAGTGGCGGCAAACCTCTTAAAATTTTTTTATTAAATTTGTTAATGCATTCTCAGTAATGTACATTATTGCGGCTTATGTAAATTAAAACTTTTTTTTTGATATTTGAAATATGTGGCAACACCGGTTTTACAATTGTTTCTTTACATTCATTTTACAGAGAGAAAGACACAAAATGAAATAAAAGCGGAGCAAATCCATTGAGCCGTTCTTGAGTTATGCGTTAACACACGAAAGCAATCCATGTTTACATATAAATTTTTTTCGAATGGTGACAACCCTACTGAAATTTTTTTCTGAATAAATTTTCTTATACATTCTCAGTGAAATAGCATTATTGCGGCTCATTTATAATTAATTTTTTTTTCCGATATTGCAGATATCTGGCAACATAATTTTTTCCAATTTTCTCCTTACAAACCTTCTACAAACAGAAAGACACAAAATGAAATAAAAACGAAGCAAATCCGTTGAGCCGTTCTTGAGTGATGCGATAACACAAAAGCAATCCATTTTTAAATATAAACTTTTTTTTCGAATGGTGGTAACCCTATCCAAATTTTTTTTCGAATTAATTTTGTTATGCGTTCTCAGTGAAATGGCATTATTGCGGCTTATTAGTAATAATTTTTTTCTGATATTGCAAATGTCTGGCAACCCCATTTTACCAGTTTTCTCTTTACAAACCTTCTACAGATAGAAAGACACAAAATGAAAGAAAAGCGAAGCAAATCCGTTGAGCCGTTCTTGAGTGATGCGATAACACACGAACAGCAATCCATTTTTATATATAAAGATATGTATGTATTTAGATTTTACTTAAAAATCGGTATGTACATACATCAGTGGTGCACAGCGTTGGCAGAGCTCCCAATACAAGCGCAATATTTTTTTATCTGTATTTGTGTACTCAGCAAAACAGCTCGCGCATGTGATGCTTACAGCATGAAGTACAAACGCAAACTGACCGGCTGCTAGCGGCGCATAAGTTCGGTAGCTGCGCACACACGACTTGAATGTGAAAGCCGAGTAGCTCCCGGAGACTCCCGGTGTGCACCACTGACATACATGCATATTTAGTTAAGCTTAAAATTGTACTTCCTCACTCTTGTACTTCACTTACATAAGTGGGAAGACTTTTCAACTACTTCTACCACGGACGGCAATGCATATATGTATACGTGCAATTATAGCGTAATTCCTTATAAAAGCGAAAAAACATCTTCCATACAACGCTCTAAAAAGGTTTCAGGATGAGCTGTTGTGAGTGATCGCGAATGGAGCTCCCGCATCGTTTATCTCATTCATGTAGGTGCGCACCAAAAACTCTTACAAAATAAAATTTTATGAAGAACGTACGTATCTACGAAACATCTGGTATTTAGGGAAATCCCAACTAAACCACACAACTCCGCACTTAGCGAAATGCAGTTTGAAGAAAAATTCACTACCTGCTACAACTCTAAAATGAACGAAATCATGTGCTCTATTTCCGTAAATATTTCTAAAGCATACTAATTATTAGTGGAAAATAAACAAAAGGTAGGTAGAAAGCTGCTGCAATATTGTATCTACATACATACTTCAGGCTAAAAGGGTCACAAGTAAATGTTTTCTTCTTTACAAAGTCGTAGTGAAACCAACGCTCCCAGCGAAAAATCGGTAATCGCTTTTAGTGGTAAGGTGTTCTAGAAGGCATAGCGTTATAATGCCTTCGAGTTTTTTCGCTTCTTATAGGCATTGCCGGGAATGCAAAGTAGAATGTCCTAAAATGTTTTTGTTTTAATTCGCTTCTCTGCTTTATTTAGGGGAACGCAAAGTAGAATTTCCTACACTATTTAATTTGTTTCGCTTCTTTGCTTCATTTCAGGGAGTGCAAAGTAGAATGGTGCAACGTACTCTGCTGAAAAATAGAATGAATATCCAAAATTTCTTTTTCTACCGTTACTTTCTGTGGAAATTTGACTCGCATTAAAATCATGTTTTGCTTTGTTCAATTTGCAATTTGCAGCGAAATTGAAGTCAGTCAATGAAGTGGTAATTGCCTATTGCAACGCATTTCTTTTTCGAATCGTATTACAGAGCAGCTTCTTAGATTTTTTGTTTGGAAAATATAAATCGTGTGCTGGGAATGCCGCATTATACTAAAGCCAACCTTTCGACATAAGCTACTATTCCATATGAACACAGTATACATATAAAAATGAAGCAAATTATTACATCGCGTTATTTTATCTATTTATTTTCTTCAATTTATAATTTTGAGAAGTGGAGAATATAAAAACTTAATTTAGTGAGTATTGTAGAAAGTGTATTGCTAATACAACCTAACTAACTTCGACATCTCACACTCATTCCGATAAAATTTTCTCCAGTATTCCAGGACATTTGTGTTGAACGGTTCCATTTCTTTTACACAGGGATTATCCAACTTTTATTTGATATCAGGTTTTACGATTGGTCTCGTTGCACTTTGCGATTTCGCCAATGACCTTACGTGAAACGTTGCTTGGAAGTTCATTGTCCTGTGTTATATGTGGTACAACTCCAGAAGTGCAATCATTCTCATATTTTAAATTTTCTGGATCATTTCGTAGGTCTTTATTAAGTCATCCTGTAAAAGAGTAAATATTTCTAAAGCATACTAATTATTAGTGGAAAATAAACAAAAGGTAGGTAGAAAGCTGCTGCAATATTGTATCTACATACATACTTCAGGCTAAAAGGCTCACAAGTAAATTTTTTTCGTCTTTGCAAGGTCGTAATAAAACCAACGATTAGCTATTATTTGATTATTGCTGCAAAATTTTTGCTAATTCTGTGCTACTGCTCAGTAATAACTATGCACTTATATAAGTACATGCATATAGATACTGTAGTATGCGATAGCTCCTTACGATCAGAAAAACGCAATGTTGTAGTTCGTCACAGCAAACTCGGTAAAACGCATATATATATATGCAAGCACGCACTCAAAATGAAAAATAGGACCGGCCGCTTTGTACAATAGTTTCAGAATGTCTTTATTGCTCGTTTTTCGCTTGCTAAAATGGTGTCCTTCGTAAGTCTACATAAGAGTGCTTATAATCTATCGCTTATGATCTACTTTTTTACAATTGGCTTGGCACCACTAACGTTAACCCTTAGCACACTATTACAAACGTTAACCCTTAGCACACTACTGCAACTCGGCCATCCTGATAAAATAGAAACTCCTGATTCTAAGCCGAGTGAATAAAAAATAAAAAAACACATATTTCGTAACATATAGTACATAAAATTCATATATATATATAATCATATACATGCATTTATGTTATATTACGATTTGTTTGTATTTTTACAACCGAGCCATGGTTTCAGATTTGTTATTGCCCAAACTCCTTTGTAGGGAATTTGAGTTTGTTGAAAGCTTTCTACATCGTCTACTGCATAGCGGTCATTCTCCAAAACTTTAGTTATTTTATAAGGTCCCTTGAACCTAGGTATGAGTTTGCAGAGGCTCCTATTTGCGAATTTACATTAGAAATTACTACATAGTCTCCTGGGTTGAATTTACGTGGCTTCTACGTTTTCTATGTCCCTGTACTCCGCCGGCTGTGCCGCTTCTAAAACATTTTCTTTGACAGTGTCTATAACCTTTCCCGTTTGCACAACTCCGAACAACAGCATACTAGGAGTTTCCTTAGCTGCCTTATGTATCTTATTGTTCATCGCTTGTTCCACCGATTCCAATACCTTCTCCCAACCTACATCTCTACCGGCGTCTGTCATTTTGGCTATCATTGGACCTAATATTTTGTTTACGATCTCTGCTTGTAGATTCGCTTGGGGTGAACATGTCGCTACTTTTATGTGTTTTACATTGTTACTTTCTAGAAAATCTTCAAACTCTTTAGATGTGAAACAGGTGCCTCGGTCCGTGACTATGATTTTGGGCCTACTATATGCTCGAAAATAATCTTTTAGAGCTGTGATGGCTCCCTTGGAAGCTGCCGTTTTTGCAGGGTATAGGTGAACAAATTTAGAAAATGCGTCTATTATAATTAATATATGCTTTTGTTTTGTACATTCACTATGAATTGGACCGTAATGGTCTATGTAAATCATCTCAAAAGGTGTAGTTCCGTTGGGTATCATATTAACAAATCCTTCTTTTTTACCGCTTTTATGTGAAAAACCTATGCATTTTAAGCAATTTTCGATGTGAATGGTCGCTTTTTTTCTAACGTTTGGAAACCAATAACTTTTACTAACAGTTTCGACTACTTTGTCTATACCCATATGGCCCATTTCGTCGTGATATTTGTACAGAACAGGCTGTTCCATGAACTCGGGTACGTAGAATAATAAATTTTTTTTAACTTTTTTTTTGAAAACTATTCCGTTTCGCATGCTTTCTTTGGTTTCCAATTCTTTTTTTATCTGCCCTGTACGTTCGTCCCTGTTTTGGCATATTATCAGATTTTCTTTGAAAGTATTGGTGGGGAGTACTAAGATGTTATTAGCCCTGCTAAGTGCGTCAACATGTTGCATTCTTTTACCCTATCTATGCTCCAGTTCGTAATCGTAATTCTGTAAAACCAGGGCCCACCTTGCTATTCTCGGGTTCATTTCATTTTTGTTGAGGGTAAGTGTAAGTGAATTGCAGTCTGTGACGATTTTAAATTTTATGCCTTGTCGGCAAACTCGGAACCTCTTCAACGCGTAGATTATAGCTAAAGTTTCTAGCTCGAAGCTATGGTGTCTGGACTCTACCTCTGTAGTTCTTTTTGAAAAATAAAAAACTGGGTGTAATTTTTTGTCTGTTTTCTTTTGGAAGAGTTGCTACAAAGCCTACGGAGCTTGCGTCACAGAACGTTCTGTCAAATCGTTTGGGTCTTATATTGCTAATATTGGGGCGGCT